CTTTCAAATAAATAAATCTTTAAAAAGAAAATAAATAGCCAGTGCTGGCATCCCGTATGGATGCTGGTTTAAGTGCCAGCTGCTCCACTTCCAATCCAGCTCCCTGCTGTGGGGAGCAATCCGGACTAGACTAAGTTACTGGAATTAAGACTTATTCTATGCATCTGCTCTCCCACAATATGGCGTTGGGAGAGAAGTAAACAGCTTCCGCACAGCTGCCTCCAGTTCAACCAATAAACTGTAGGACTTGCTCCTGATTGGAGAGCAGCGTACTCGGCGTGTGGGCAGCCGAGTTGGGATTGGCGGAGGAGGACTATAAAGGAGGAGAGAGACGGCATGCACCAGGGAACATCTAAGGGGAACACCTAAGGGGAACACCTGTGCAGCCCCTGAGAGAGCCGGCCGGCGGTGTGCCGCTCCCCTGCGGAAGTGGGGAATGTGGCCAGGGGGAACTGCCCTTCCACGGAGGTGGAAGGGATAGTAGCCAACCCGGGAAGAACCAGCAGCAAACCCGGGGAGGGCCGAGCAGATGAAAGAACAGCGCAGGGTCCTGTGTCGTTCCTCCACGAAGACGGGGAGCGACACCTGCTAATGGCCTGGGAAAGCAGCAGAAGATGGCTCAAGTCCTTGGGCCCTGCACCCATGTGGGAGACCCCAAGGAAGCTCCTGGCTCCTGGGTTCAGACAGGCCCAGCCCCGGCCATTGCAGCCATTTGGGGAGTGAACCAGGGGACGGAAGATACCTCTCTCTGTCTCATTTTCTCTGTAACTCTTTCAAAATAATTTTTTTTTAAGATTTATTTTATTTATTTGAAAGACAGAGTTACAGAGAGAGGTGGAGGCAGAGAGAGAGGTTTTCCATCCACTGGTTCCCTCCTGAAGCCAGGAGCCAGGAGCTTCCTCCGGGTCTCCTACACTTGTGCAGGGGCCCAAGGACTTGGGCCATCTTCCACTGCTTTCCCAGGCCACAGCAGAGAGCTGGATTGGAAGTGGAGCAGCCGGGGCTTGAACCAGCGCCCATATGGATGCCAATGCTGCAGGTCACAGCAGCACCACAGCACTATCCCCAATAAATAGATGTTTAAACACACACACACACACACACGCTTTGGATATTTTATATATGAGTGCATAAGTGTGATATGGATACACACACGAGTACACAAATACGCTGTGGACGTTACATATATGCACACACAAGCACGCAGCTGTGCCGTGGGTGGAACTTATGCATATCTGTACAATAGGATGTGGAGAAATGAGTGGCGTGATGGAGTAAGCACTGCAGAGGCACAGACACGTGGCGGATACGAGTGGATACGATGCAGTGCACATCCAGGGGCTCACGGCCGCGATGCGTGTGACGGAATGGTTCTCACGGCACACGCGTGCTTGCCCCCGCCACGTGAGTGCCTCAGTGGCGTCTCACTTCCGGAGTGCCCTCCGTCCACTTTAAGCTGTGACAAAGCCGCCGATCCACACCACCACATCCCTCTTGGAGATGGACCCGTGGCCCGGCAGGCGGCGCTGGGCAGCAGTGGGCCCAGGCTGGACGGCTGTGGGGCGGCTGTGGGGCTGCCTGTTCCTACAAGCACTCCCAACCTCCTGCCACTCACTGCCGTGGTCCTCGTTACTGTTCTACGATCATTTACGGGCAGTGATTTAGGGTAGCAGGTGGTCTGGGAACCAGGAAAGGAAGAACTGTGGGTGCAGGAGAGACAGACTCGCGATCGCATGAGACTTAGAGCCTGGACTTATCTGTATTGATTCCTTCCCTCAGTGCTCACGGAGCATCCGGGTTGCCATGGTTACAGCAAGCGTGCGGCGGCCAGCGTGAGTCCGTGGAGAGGACTGACCACGCTAACCACCCTGTATTCTTTCAGTCTCGTGGACATCATGAAAGCAGCACCTGCTATTCTTTTAGCTTTCTGGAGAGGCTATCACACTATTCTCGTTTTAAAAATGGCTGCGGCGGTCGGAGAACAACGGGTTTTTCTGTGCACCCCGGACTCTCTTAGGGAAGAGCTCACCTGGGCCACTCGCTCGTCTTTCCTGCTGCTTCCCGCCGCCTTCACATCTCAGGGTTCGTTTCTAATTATGAAAAAGTTCACGCACACAGAAAAGTTGGGAATTCCCGACCTGCACCCTGAGCTGTCAGTTCACAAAGATGCCCCCGCCCCTGCCTCCCCAGGGGCCGGGTCTGGCAACCCCAAGCCTGGAGCGTCCGGGGCGCCAGGCCAGGTCTAGGGGCCCTCTCCCCAGCTGTCCGGAGGCCAGAGTCAAACAGGATGCGATGGGAAACTCGCATTTGGAAGCCAGTCCACGCATGGACGGATGTATTAAGATGGCTCAGCAAAGGAAAAGCCCGCATCTTCACCCCTGTTTCTGAGTTTTCTATTTTTTTTTTTTTTTTTTTTTTGACAGGCAGAGTGGACAGGGAGAGAGAGAGACAGAGAGAAAGGTCTTCTTTTTTGCCGTTGGTTCACCCTCCAATGGCTGCCGCGGCCAGCGCACCGCGCTGATCCGATGGCAGGAGCCAGGTGCCAGGTGCTTCTCCTGGTCTCCCATGGGGTGCAGGGCCCAAGCACTTGGGCCATCCTCCACTGCACTCCCTGGCCACAGCAGAGAGCTGGCCTGAAAGAGGGGCAACCGGGACAGAATCCGGCGCCCCGACCGGGACTAGAACCCGGTGTGCCGGCGCCGCAAGGCGGAGGATTAGCCTAGTGAGCCGCAGCGCCGGCCTTCTATTTTCTTTCTAAGGAAGGGCTGGATGTTTTCTTTCCTCGATGTAAGATGGTGCGCAGGTCGCCGTGCCCAGGCCCTCCAGCAAGGTCCACGCATGGCAGGTCCTGTGTCCTCCTCCCACGCGACGATGGCGACGGCCTGGCGGGTTGGCTGTCCTTGTCTGGACAGACTCCTTGGATGCTCACCTGGCCTGAAGCCAAGAAGGGCTGGGAGGCGCCCGTCTCACCCTGTGGGCGTCGCCTGTCCTGGGTTCCGTGGTGTCCGGCCACACTTTATTCCTAAATAGACAAGGCCACGGATGCTCACGCTCCCACTGCTGAAGAAACACGCAGAAGGTAGCCTACCTAGACCACACGCCTGAGGCTTTGCTCACGTGACTGCCAGCGGGCGTGACGTGTGCTGAGCGTGCGCTCCCTCTCCCTCTCTCTTTCCTGCCCACTGCCAGTGCGTTGCAGATGCATGAATGCCTACAGATTCCATAGCCGGTTCCTTCTTAAGGACACGCATATGTCTACAGTATTTTGCTCTTACAAACAAAGCTGGGATGGATCCTTGCACACGCGTTGTTTCGCCTGTGTGCAGATCTGTCTGTAGAACAAACTGCCAGGCGTGGGCTTCCTGGTCACAGATTAACCTTAACAGCTGTTGCTTGATTGCCTTTTATGGCTACGGTGCCAGCCTGCACGGCCACGGCAAAGCGTGGGAGTTCTAGTTCTCCCACAGCCTTGATAATGGCGCATGTGATTACCCTTCTGGAATTTTGCCAGTCTGATAAGAAGAGAAGCGGAAATTCAGTTTGGTCTGATTTGTATTTCTCTTAGCACAGGTGATAGTGAATGGACCTCTTCCCGTATCTCCTACCTGTTTTCCTTGTGAGATATTATTTTAAATTTATTTTTAGGAAATCATGATTAATCATGGAGAAAACTGATGAGTTGGAAATATTTCCCCCATTTTGTTGTCTTTATTTTAAAATGCAGTTGGCTCTGTCTGTTGCCTTCCTTTATGGTTTTGGCTTTTGAGTCACAGAGAACCTGATCACTCACAGCACTGTCGGGGCAATTAAAACGCGAACGAGTGGGCGCCCGCAGTCCGCTCGCTGGCTGCCCTCAGAGAAGGGAACAGGCGCCTCTCTGGTTTCTGGCGTCTGGGAGTATTTCAGGGATTTGCCCACCAACTCCAACCTTGTCCCCAAGGCATAAAATGTTTACATCAAGTGCCCTCAAAATGGGGAGGGGGCCCGGGGTCGTGCGCCAGCAGGTTAAACCGTGGCTTAGCAGGCTGAGTGGCTGCCTGCCAAGCCGGCCTCCCACGTGGATGCTGGTCTGAGTCCCAGCGGCTCTGCTCCCCATCCAGCTCTCTGCTAATGCACCTGGGAAAGCAACAGAAGACGGCCCAAGCGCTTGGGGTCCTGCACCCACATGGGAGACCCGGAAGATGCTCCTGGCTCCTGGCTTTGGTTTGGCCCAGCCCCAGTCATCGCGGTCACTTGGGGAGTGAACCAGAGGATGGAAGACCTCCCTCTCTGTCTCTCCCCTTCTCTGTCTGTAATTCTACCTTTCAAATAAATAAAAATTCTAAAAATGTTTAAAAAATTTTTAAGACATTATGAAAATGATTTGAAGAGGAGTGGCAGCAGCTGCTCTTGACCTTCAAAGCCGGTGCCATCTCCGTGGTTCTGGAGTTTGGGGGCACAGAGTGTGGCTTCTTCCTTGCAGACAAACAGCAGGTCTGGCACTGCGGCGCAGCTGGTTACACCATACCAGAGTGCCGGCCCGAGTTCTGGCCGTAGGAAGCACAGGCAGATGCCCCAAGTACACAGGCTCCTGCCACCCACATGAAGACCTGGACGGACTTCCTGGCTCCTGGCTTCAGCCTGGCTCAGCCCTGGCCGTGGCAGCCGTTTCCTGAGTGAACCAGTGGATGGAAGATAGGTCTCTCTCTCTCTCTGACTCTCGTTCTCTTTCCAATAAGCCTTTGGGAAACAAAGATGCGACAGGAAGTGCTGTCTCCTCACGGCACAGCTCACGTCCCCCTCAGAACGGCAAAGCCCTCGACCCTCCTGTGTCTCCCATGTCTCAAAGCTCACGACCAAGTTGGGATTTCTGGGTAGTGCCGGGAAGATGGGGGCTTCTCTTCTGTCGGGGAGAAGGCTCCTGCTTCCAAGGAGAGGTCTCGAACTGACAGCCGGAGCGTCGGCTGTGTGCGGGGGAGTCTGCGGCTCTCTTCCTCACCCAGCGGGGAGGTCACTGTCCGAGCCAGGCCAGGTCCTGTCACACGGGCACTCCTAACGCAGAGGTCACTGTCCGAGACAGGCCAGGTCCTGTCACACGGGCACTCCTAACGTAGAGGTCACTGTCACAGACAGGCCAGGTCCTGTCACACGGGCACTCCTAACGCAGAGGTCACTGTCACAGACAGGCCAGGTCCTGTCACACGGGCACTCCTAACGCAGAGGTCATTGTCACAGACAGGCCAGGTCCTGTCACACGGGCACTCTCAACGTAGAGGTCATTGTCACAGACAGGCCAGGTCCTGTCACACGGGCACTCCTAACGTAGAGGTCATTGTCTGAGACAGGCCAGGTCCTGTCACACGGGCACTCCTAACATAGAGGTCATTGTCCGAGATAGGCCAGGTCCTGTCACACGGGCACTCTCAACGTAGAGGTCATTGTCCGAGACAGGCCAGGTCCTGTCACACGGGCACTCCTAACGTAGAGGTCATTGTCTGAGACAGGCCAGGTCCTGTCACACGGGCACTCCTAACATAGAGGTCATTGTCTGAGACAGGCCAGGTCCTGTCACACGGGCACTCCTAACATAGAGGTCATTGTCCGAGATAGGCCAGGTCCTGTCACACGGGCACTCCTAACGTAGAGGTCATTGTCTGAGACAGGCCAGGTCCTGTCACACGGGCACTCCTAACGCCATCTGGGGCACTTCACAAAAACCACAAAGTTCCGGCCTGGACACTGCACTCGCCTCTGTTGAAAAGGAAAAACAAAGGTTTATATGTTTCCATCCACCTGGAAGGCAGTGAGAGAGAACGAGCCAGGAGAGTTCGCATCTGCTCAGTTACGCCGAAGCCAGGAGCCTGGAGCTGCATCCGGGTCTGCCCTGTGGGTAGCAAGGCCCGCGCACCTGATTCGTCACCAGGACGCACCCAGGTCTTCCTGCCCAGCTCAGCTGTGGGCCAGGCCCAGTGGCGCAGGGGGTTGAGCCACCGCCTGGGACACGTGTTCCCGTATCGGAGTCTGGGAACAAGCCCTCCCTCCATTTCTGATCCAGTTTCCTGTTAATGCACCCGGAAGGCAACTCGGGACTTGGGTCCCTGCCACCCACGTGGGAGACCTGGATGGAGCTCTGGGCTCCTGGCTTCGGCCTGACCCAGCCCCTGCTCTGTGGGCACTGGGGAGTGAACGAGTGGGTGGAAGGTCTCTATCTCTCCCCCTCTCTCTGCCTTTCAAATAAATAAATAAATCTTAAAAAATAAATAAATAAAAGGATCTGACATTTCAGACTCGCACCCTTGATGGCTCGCTCCCCTCTGCCTGGCGGATCTGCTCAGGCCTGGCTGTGGCTGGTCCCTGGGGTCTCTGCGGTCCCTGCTGTCAACGCGGCCAGCACCTGCCGGCCAGGTCCCGGAGCCGGGAGCCCCGCGCGCCGCCCCGGGCTGGCCACGCTGTGGCGTAGGGGGCGGTAGTCACCAGCCCATGGGAAATGAAGCCCCAGGATGAAGTCGCCATCTTCTCCCGTCCTCACTGTCCCAGCGCCTCTTCTGCGAGGACACCAGGGCGCGGGGTCCCGGGAGGAGCCCGACCGCTCGCCCGCTCTGGCCAGCCGCGGGGGCCCCAGGTGACGCCGCCCACGGCCCTGCGTCCCCGCCGGGAGCGCTCGGTCCACACCAGGCGCCCGCGGCTGGGGGACCCGACACGGGACAGCTCCGCGCTGGTCACGGCGCTCCTGTTTGTCGACGTCGCCCTTGTCAGGAAAGCCTGGGACGTCCGAGCTGCTTCCAGCGCGGGGGACGGGGCCTTAGGCTCCCACGGGTCTCGAGTGAAAATCAGACGGAATCGGCCGGACGAGCGAGGGCGCAGCGCGCCATCTCGCAGTGGCGGGAAACGCTGCGGCTGCGCCTGCGGCCGGCAGGAGCCCAGAGCTCCCCTCGGCCGTCCCCGGCCGGCGTGCGGGGCGCGGGCCCAGGCTGGCCCGCCCCTGCCGCAGATCGCACCAGGGCCGTGTCGAAGCGGGGCCACTGCCCACGACCCTGCCTGGCCGCGGCCGCCGGACGCGCCGGCTCCGCCTCAGCCTGCCGGTGGCCGCTCCCTCGGTCCTCGTCCTGTCTAAAGCCTCCTTGATCCACTGGATTCGTGCGCCCAGGAACGGCCGGGGAGCGCGCGTTCCGCCCGTGACGTCCACTCGGCCACCGGCCGGCCGCCGGCACGCGCGGGCTCCGCGGACACCGCGGCGCATTCCCCGGCGAGCCACGCGGGGGCGCTCGCGCTCCACCGAGAACCGGCGGGCCGCGTGCGGGGTGGGCGCCGCGCGTCCGGGCGGCGGGGCATGGCGGCCGCAGTGCGGCTCCGCGGGTCGTGGGGGGAAGCAAGGCCTCACCGCAGCCGCCCAGGCTGCCCCGAGGGCCGCGTCCTCCCCGGCGCCCCCTTCGGGGCCCGCAGAACAGCGATCTGGCCGCCGTTCGCCACGTCCTGCGGGCTCCCGGGCGCTGCTTGCCCGAGCCCCAGCGGGTGTAGACGCAGGCGCGTTGCGGCCGGCCCTGAGGGGAGGCGCGGGCACACGTGCCAGCCGCGCCCTCAGACACCTCGCTGCCCTCACCCTGAGAGGAATTGTGCTTCTCGAAGAACGACAAGGAAAAACTCGGACGGGCAGAGCGAGACTTGGGGGCGGCGGCCGGGAGCCTCCCCCAGGGCCCACGAGGCGCCAGGCGCCCCAGGGGTTTCTGAGGTTGGGGAGGGGGTGAGGTCCCAAGGCCTGGAAAGAGCAAGGGAGCCAGGCTGCAGCGCAGGGACCCACAGAAGCTGAGCTCTTGGCTTCTCTCAGTGGATTGACCGAGCCCGGGGTCACCTTGATTCTGCAGCCCTGGGCCAGGGCCTGGGACTCTGCCATAGCTTTAGAGAGAGAGAGAGAAAGACACACACACACACACAGAGCGAGCGAGTGAGCGAGCGAGTGAGATCTTCCATCCATGAGGTCACAGGTCACTCCCCAAATGGCTGCAACAACCAGAGCTGGGTCAGGCAGGAGCCAGGAGCTCCATCCGGGTCTCCCACGTGGGTGCAGGGGCCCACGGACCTGGGCCACCCTCTGCTGCTGTCCCAGGTGCATTCGCAGGGAGCTGGATCGGAAGTGGAGCAGCCGGGACTTGAACCGGCATCCATTTGGAAGTTGGCACTGCAGGTGAAGGCTTAACCCGCTGCACCACAGCACCGGTGCCAGGACTCTGCATCCCTAACCAGCTCCCTGCACAGATCACACTTGGTCTCCAAGAGTGAACCTGAACAGAGAGCGGCAGCTGCCTCAGCCTGCACGGACAGCAGCCCGGAGACAGTGGTGAGTGGAGCCAGTGCGGCCCCGTCCTGTCGAAGTCTACGACTGCTCTTCCGGAGCAGGTGCACGGAGGCCCCTTCCTAACTTCCTGGATGCCACGATGCCATTAAGCAGGGCTGTGGGCGAGCCCCAGGGAGCCTGCAGAGGGCCTGGTTCTCCCAAGGAGTCAGGCTGGGCTGGGGAGAGGGGCAAGGTGCCCACGCAGGAGGGGTGGGCTCGTGTGGAGGACTGGCAGGAGCGTGAGGGTGGAGCCTGGGGCTGGGGGAGGCTGGGGAAGGAGCCGGGGGCCCTGGCATCCCCACTGGCCATGAGGGCATCCTGCCTGCTGGGGACTGGTGAGGACCCTGAGTGAAGACGACCAGTGGAACGAGGGTGCCTCTCGTGCACCTGCGGGGCCCACACCAGACTCCCCGCCAGGGGGCAGCAGAGCAGAGGGCTGGGAGTGCCTGCGTAGAGTCCAGGGTTGCAGCCGAGCCGTTCCTATCCATCCCCATTTCTCCACTTCTGTTCTTCCAGGAAAACGCCACCTCCACGCCCACGGTCTGCACTAGGCTCACCAGGACAGCGTGCGCTCTCTCCGGGAAGTAATTCCCATCATGGGGCGCAGTAGGCCTGGCAGACACACAGGTTTGCCGGATGGCAGCAGGGGTGGACAGACACACAGCGATTGGGTCCTGAACCAGCCACGGGTGGAGCAGGGGGCTCCTTTGACTCCCGGGGTGGCTGGGTGGCTCCAGGGACAGGTGGCCACGTGCTGCGAGTGACCCCACCTCCCGGGTGGCAGGGCGGCCGTTCCCGCTCCGTGCTTCCGTGTCCCAGCAAGGAGCTCACAACAAGCAGACCTGCCAAGGAGGAGGGGCTCGGCTCCCGGCGTGGCCGCAGTGACCAGGTTTAGAATCACAGGGCAGGCGTGTGCACCTGTCCTCCTCTTGTGTTCTTTCGTGTGGCCCTTGTCGTGACGTGCGCACAGCCTGGCGCGCTCATGCCGGCATCCCAGCCGCCCGTTATCCTGGCCCTTAGAAAGCCCTGGCATTTGCCTGTGCCAAGACCGCGGCCACCAGTGGGGGTGCTGCACTTTGGCTCCCAGGAGTAGACCAGGTGCCACCAGCAAGGGCAGCCCTGCAGGTAACCGTGCCCTCTAAGTGGCCCGAGATTGACCTTGGTGGTGGAAGGGCTGGTGGCAGGCGTCCATGTACTGTCAGCCAGTGGCCCCCGGGTGGCAGCCTGCGGGGAAGGAGTCGGCACAGGGGCGCGTGGTTATCCTGGCCCCGTGAGTGTGAGCAGAAGTGACGTGGCTGCTCCCGGCCCTGGCCTGTGAGTGTTTTCTTCTTCTTTCGCTTCCCGCTGGCCTGCTGTGGCCGGGCAAGGCGACCCCGAGAGCCCGCGCCACAGGCAGAGCTACACGAGGAGCGTTGCTGGTGCCGGCGAGGAGCTCAGGTGGGTGAGAGATGACCCCCTCTCGTGCGGGAGTCACGTGTGTGCTGGGGTTGCTCAGTTGCAGCAGCCGGCGTCGTCTTAGCTGAGACACAGCCAGGATTTCCTGGGATCTGGACAGAGCCACACGGGAGAGTGGCCGGCACAGGTGGCTGCCCAGCTGGACAGGGCTGGAGGGGTGAGGCAAGGCTGTGCTGGCCCACGCCAGCCGCTCTCAGCGTCCCTGAGGCGGGCGTCACCGCCTCGCTCTGGGTGGAACTGGGCTTCGTCTCAGCGCAGGCGGAGCCCTGAGGCTGCTGGGAAGTGGCACGGCCTTGGCGGGGCCGCACGAGGACCGGGACGGCTGCTTGGCCCGCCCGCCGCTCCGAGACCCTGCCAAGGGTGTGGCCTGTGTTGGCCAGGGAGGGGGCTGGCCAGCTTGGCGGAGAACACATGAAGATACAAAGTCTGCGTAGACATTCTTCCCCACTGATATCAAGCGCATTAGTCAGGGTTCCCGGTCGCAAGCAGGAGGCCGACTGTCTTAGGCAAGAAGGGGAGTTCTGGAAGGACTTGGGGCGTCCGTGGAACCACGTGAGGCTGGAGAGAGGCCCGGAGAGCAGAACGGACTGCAGGAGCTCGGACAGGCCGAGGCCCCGCTGTGAGCAGACGGGGCACCGTGCGTGTGACACTCGGGGGCCGCGAGATGAGGCCATGGACGTGCCCCACTGCGCCAAGGTCGGGAAGTGGGGGACTTTGCCCTTCAGCTTCCAACCCGGGTGTGACTGCTGCCTCCCCCCAGTGCCACGCACAGTGGGAAATTTCCCCAAAATTTCCAAGGCTTCGTATGATGCGCGTTTCTTTCTTTTCCACGTAAGAGCCTGACGCCTATGTGCATAGTTGGGGGACGCCCTTCCGAGCAGCGGCTCGGGGATCCAGGCCCTGCCC